ACCCACATTGACACCCACACCCACACCCGAAAAAAACAGAAGTGATTATTGCTTCACTATTAAGTCATATCGTTGACCCAGTATTATCAATGCATAAGCAGCATCGTGCAAAACTAAATAGAGAACGTGTATGCCGATATCGGCAATGGAAGGAACGAGTAAATAGATCCATATATATATCAAGTGTGAGAACGAAAAAATAGATCGAGAAGCGCGTCGCTCCAATCATTTTCATCATCTATAATTTTTCTTTTGTAACTATTAAAAAAGATCGATTCAGTTATTTTAAATTCAATACAGATAAATACACTCTTAATTTTGATATCTTTGAAATATATATCACGAAAAAAAATCACGTTTAATTATTGTATGTATTTTAAAATGCAACAATTGTGTCACTTGAGCATACTGTATTAGTGAATTTTTTTATTTGTTACAGTGAAATATAAACTATATATATTAAATTTTCTATTGATTGACAAATAATAATTGTAAACAAAACTTCTCTTGAACATGAAAACAGTCATAATTTCTATTAAAACCTATATTTCGATCTTCATGCTCATTTACACTATCATGGTTGTCACATGATAATTCGATATGAGATTGATGCTCATAAGTATTGTTGTATTGAATTTGTAATTGAATATCTCAATTGCTAATATGAATAGACGATGCTTCGAATCGTCAATCATTGAAATAAAGTGGTGTTCAATACTTAAAATCATGTTTAACATATTCATTAATTCGAACAGCATTAGCTGCATAGTCTTTATCGTCGTTATCAAGCGTATAGTTTATAATGGTCAACATTCATATTGTTTCTATGGCTGCCATTGTAGCTTGTAAAGTTTTACCATTAAATGAAAATTGTATTGCATCAATGTCGAAATTTGTTAATAATTGATTGGGTGAATAACTTGATTTAATAAAAATGAATTGAAGATCAACAAATTGTGTTTGTTGAAGAAAATTTTCAACTGCTCGATTAATGAACAATCGTAAATCGATTACTTTGTTGGAACTATGATTTTTTTTGTTTAATATAAAAATATTGTTGCATTTTATTTTTGATTTGATTCTAGTATCAAAGAAATAAATTTTATACAAAAAATACAAGAAGATCAACTTACTACAGAATTTAAATATCATGGTTACGAAATGCCTATATACAACAAATCAACATCTTAACCTGGTAATATAATAGCTTTCTCAAAAAGGCATGTTATTAAACACTCACCAGCAATATGAAACTTCAAGTAATCGATAAAATGTAACCCACTAAAATGTAATTGGAAAAAAAATATACAACTAAAGTAGAAGAGAAATCTTTGATAAGCAATATAGTATTTTTGATAGAAGAAAACTACTATGCTATCATAACCATTTTCGTTAACTCAATCGTTTAGATGTGCTTTTTTTTTATTTTCATCTAAACCATATCGTTTTGATGTATCCTAGCACTAGAATTATTATAAGTCAATATTTATTATTTACGAAACTTTTCCTCCACGTATGCTTATACAACAACTTTCATGTAGTACTCAAGTTTATTTATTCCACATACCAATGAAAGAAAAAAAGATTATTTAAATTAATTAAAAAATTCATTGAATGATATAATAAATTTAGGTAATTCATTTGATATTGAATGAACATTAAATATTTGTAATTCCAAATCGTATAATTCTCTTGACATGAACAAATCATTACTTGGGAAAACATTAGTCATTGATTAATCTGTTGAATTTATTGATGGATGATACGAAATTACCTGACAAAAAATGCTTCATATCCGGGTATACCAAAAAACTTTGTTGCTTGTTCTATACTTTCTGAATTGAAACTACCCTGTATGAATGACAGTCATTTAATAACGGAATTACGGATAATCAATTGACCGTTAGACAGTTGAAATAGATTGGAATATTGT